CGAGGGTTTCATTGACTGACCAATGAGAGGAGAGTATGCTACACACTGCCGTTAGCTAACACTTTCACCAAGTGATTACTAAAAAGCTTTGTGGGAATTTATTGGCACCAAGGTGAAGTTTATGGTAAGGTTTTCTTCATAAAACTGTATCTTGATGTGTGTTTGTTTTTCAATATCATTAGCATCGCAAGATTTGTTTAGTTTACATGTCCGTAATGCACACCCGCCTTCAGAGTCAAGAACCAATCAAATTTTGTGAAGACAAGCGACCTGAGAGCGCGATTCGCAACGCTGCAATCGCTATCGCGTACTGTGTGTCTGGTTTCACCCTGACTGCGATGACAGCCGTTAATCGCTGTAGTTTGTCGCTCCCCGTGTGTCGAGCCCTTAACCCTGATCCTTTACCTAAACCTAACCTTACAGGTACACTTAACCCTAAATATAACCTAAACTCAATTCACATCTTTAGTCCTAACCATAACCCCTGACCCACCAACAGTCTAGTCCCCCATGGGGACTAGGCTTAGTGCCCCATAAGTAGGTGTGTATGACAAAAATGGTTCTCACATAGTAGGGAATACCTTCCTGCGTACACAAACACATACCTACATTGCATTGACTTCCATTCATTTTCTGGTCATTTTTATAGCCTAATTCTGACCCTTTACCCTAAACCTAACCACCCCAGTACAAATCTGACCCTAAACCTAACCACGCCAGTACATATGTGACCCTAAACCTAACCACCCCAGTACATACCTGACCCTAAACCTAACCACCCCAGTACATANCCACCCCAGTACATACCTGACCCTAAACCTAACCACCCCAGTACATACCTGACCCTAATCCTAACCACCCCAGTACATACCTGACCCTAAACCTACCCACCCCAGTACATACCTGACCCTAAATCTAGCCTAAATCCAATTCACACCTTGGTCCCAAACCTAAGCCTCCAAAATCAGCATCTGGACTTTGGTTCCCTCGAGGAGCACTGTGTCCCCACAAGGCTGTGTTTTTCTGGAAACTGGTTCCCGTGATGTAGCAAAAACATGTCCACACATAGACTACCATAATTTTCTCACACATTTTTAAATAAATGGCTAAAGTTAATAAATAAAATTTAGATGAAATAAAGTACTAGCAGAAAGAGAGGTGCGTGGCAGTTCTGCTTGTCATCCCTCCTTTGTCTGACTAGTTTCTGACAAAATCCACTTTGAGAGTTAAGTCTGTAATTTGGAGAATCAGATGTAAATTTTAGATTGACAGTTAAACAAATAACTATGTGCAGGTGCTGAAACGATCATAAAGAGCATAAATGTATCTCTGTATGTTGATGACGTCCTAATTTATTTTTGGAAAAGTAAAATGTAAATCAGTTCTCGATTTCAGGATGTTTTATTAAGCATTTTCATTTCCCCCCATTTCCAGATACATGCTATGTTTTGTCCTTCGCGATCATCATGCTGAACACCAGTCTACACAACCCTAACGTCAGAGACAAACCCCCCGTCGAGCGCTTTATCTCCATGAACAGGGGCATCAACGGAGGAGGTGATCTGCCAGAGGAGCTTCTCAGGGTGAGGATTTGTCTGCGTCTGCGTGTGTGACGACCGGTATAATCTGTGATGCTTGTGTGTCCCGCGTACCCGACACAAATGAGCCGTGTCCTCTCCTGTTTCCCAGTTTTGATTCATTGTTTCCCTACCCCCCACTACCCTCACTGTCTGCAGAACCTTTACGACAGCATCAAAAATGAGCCCTTCAAAATCCCGGAGGACGACGGCAATGATCTGACACACACGTTTTTCAACCCCGACAGAGAGGGCTGGCTCTTAAAGCTTGGTATGTGCATTCATGATTACAAGCGTGGCCCAGGTTCAGCTAGCAGAGCCTCAACATAGTAGTAGTAGGATTTCCTATGTTTTCTGATGAACTAATATTTGTGTTAACAATAGGTTTTCAGTTGGCCATGCTGGAAGTCAGTAGTAATACTGGCTAAAAAAAATTACTTAACTGTTTTTTAAAAACTTGATGCAAGTGTTCAATATTTCACTTTTTATATCACAATCTTTTCCAAAACATTATTTTTTTGTCTGGTTTATGCAGACCCATATTAGTTTTGGKGTGAGATTGAGATCATTGTCCTGTTGGAATATTCAGTCATGTCCAGTTTTCTTCCAACTTGCTGATCATTTGAGCTATTCATTCTTCAATCCCAGATCATGATGCTACTGTCACCATGCTTAATGCCTAGTAAAGTGTTCTTGTACAAAGTTTTAATTTTTATTTTCTATAGTCCCATAGTGGCCTGCAAATGTCAGCTTTGGTCTTGGACATCTCAGTTTGGGATTCGGTAAAACAACTTTAAGCTTCAACATTGTCGTGCCTTGGTGGTTCCTGGGTTGTTCCTGGCCTCATGAACTAGTTTCCTCTCAGACCAGGGTCATGACTGCCAGCTGCAGCCAGTTATTACTGCTAACAGGAAGTTAAGGGAAATCAGATGACCATGACAACTCATGACAGTTTAGATTATTCAGCACAAATCAACCTAAATGGGATATTTATAGTTRGCTTTTGACTTTTTAAAACAGTTGTTCGTTATGTAGTTATTCCAGTCTAGAAAAGTCCTTGAAGAGCCTGACATTGTCATGATGTTCATGTACGATATGATGAGTGTATGTTATATTCTGAATGAAACTAAAGCCTGGGTTGTGTCTAGTGGAGAAAAAATGTTGAGGGAGTTTCGAAACTCTAGCGCGACTTCTTGATTTCTTTGCTTGAGTTGCAAAAAAAAACTTGCAAAACTTTTTTTGTTGTTGAAAATAATAAAATAAATGGTCACTGAGTTCTTGGAGGTGTCTGGAACCCTACTTGAACCGTTCTCAATTTAGTTTCAGTGAGTTGTAAAGTATGAAAAATGTGAGACAATTTTGGGTGGGGTTGGCAACCTATATGCGACTAAACTAAGACATGAAGCCACAGTATACAGTGTTTAAAAYAACCAGTGGTGGGCACAGTGCCCCTAAAGCACTAATAGGGGAATTAATTTTCTAATTAGTGCTTTGGGGCTTTTGCTAATTTTAGAATTTATTAGTGTGTTAGCACTTGCAAATTTATAGACTAAATTTAGAAGCACTAACTGAGGTCTATAAATGTTATTGATCAACGTTAATGTTAACAGCTGACGGTGAAAGCTGTCGCACATTTGGTTCATATGTGTCAGTTATCCACCAGGTGACAATATACTGACAATATATGAACTGAAATACAGCTGTGGAATATCAAAGATAAGTCTTAAGAGAGCAACATGGCAACATGTGACTCATGTTGTTCATGGGTTGATTGGGTTATTTTAGTGCTTTAGAATTAGTTTTTGCTAAAATTTCAGTGTGTTAGTGCTCTAGAATTAGGGAACCTAAATATTTGAGTTAATGTTTTAGGGCTAGTGGAACTAATTTTTAGATTAGTGCTGCCCACCACTGAARACAACATTTACACGGTATGTCYGAGTGAAAATTTTTGTATTCTCTCACAGTTGTGTGTTTCTAACAAGTCACCAACAGTTACAGCTCAGTGAGATACAGGCTTAAGCTTTCACTGAGCCTACTCTATCATCTGGATTATATCATGTTTACCAGGAACCCAATGTGTAAATTTGGTTTTATTAACAGCTGGGTGTTAACATTGATGTAAAGTTGCTTTCGTGAAAATGTCACGATCTATCTGCAGGTTGGAAATTGCTCAATTTCAAGCTAGAGTTCACTTAAACTAAATCTGTTTTCTATGTTTTATAGCTTTAATTATAGTGGTAACATTTAAATCACATTTAAAATCTCATTTTTGCTCTCAAAATTRTCTACTTCCATCTTGGCTGCCAGATTATTTGTGAAACAGCTAACAATTGTATTTGTTAGTCCACCCTCTCCTCTCATTATAAGTTCATATAGCGACTCATCTTCTCTTTCCACCTCTTTGTCATGGTGATCTTAGTGTTTTTTTTCCTGAAACTTTATGTGATTTATTTTTCTTTTGCTTCTCACCTTTTCTCTCACCCTTTGTTGTATCCTTTAATCCTGCTCTGTAATGGCTGTTCYCTCTTAACTCTTTGTCTCAGGAGGTAGGTAACACTCCGTCCTCCTCCTCCTTCCTCCCAGATCATCACAGACTGTCCTTGCACTGGCATTGGCTGGCATTATCTCTTCAGCGCACTGGGCCCCCTTTAACACACTAGCCACCTCATAAAACTGGCTTCTTGTATCAGAGCTGTAAGAGGACAAATGTTCATTAGCGCTGTGAGCTGGTGGGGGTTATCGCCTGCACAAGCAAGTCAAGCTGGAGGTCTTTGATCTGCATGAGGACTGACTGCATTCCTCTTGTGGCTCTGGAGGGGGTTGAATGATGYACAGGCCTGGTCTGTTGGTGCACACAGGGTTCTTATTCCAAAAAACACCCCCAGTAGGGATAACTATCATCAAACCACTGTGCTGCTCACTATTTGCCCGTAAAGGAATAGTGGAAGTTCTGTTCTGTCAAGTAGTTATCAGTAGTTTGGAACTAATGAGCTGTGACATCAGTCATAGAGCACAGAGTTAAGATAAAGGTCRTCTTCCAGTCTGGGCTGATGGCTAACCAATCTGGTGCTCCTTTCATGTTGTTTCTGCAACAAACTGAACAAGCTAATGCTCAAATGTAGAGATTTATTATTAGCCAGTGTAGTGTGATTTCACACCTGTATAACATTTCTGGGAGAGTAGTTCTATAAGCCTGGAAAGTGAAACAAACGGAGCTCTGGTTTGACTAGTCATTAGCCTTACAGCGTATTCACACACTGTTTAGTCTGATTTAATCGAACTCTAGTTTGTTTGCCTGGAAAGTCCAGTTAGTTTGTGGAGGTGTGAATTAGTAATCAAACTCTGATTCGGATCAAAAAAGCGAACTCTGGTCCGCCTGAAAACCTAGGTCTCGGTTCAATTGAAACGAACTCTGGTGTGGTTCGATTGCATGTGTGAACGCTAAGCGGACCAGAGACCGCTCCAAAAGCAGGAAGCGGACTATACCACATGACATTCTGAGTAATAACAGTATTAAATTTACTTATGTGGTGTAAACACCTCGCTGGACGACTGTATAAGGTGGACATCATGACTGTGGAGCTAGACGCACTCCTACTCGATTAACACTGAGCTTCCTCAGCCGCCTTGTGTGCAAAACAATATTCTCCGTGGTTCTGCCTCATCTTCCTCTCATGCTGAGCTCATTGTTGAAGACTATTTGTTTAGCACATTTGCCAAAAACAAAAAATAATCCCTATAACCACTAAAATATAACGTTACCATCGTTTGTTCACATTTTGTGAAGAAGGAAGTTGCGCTCCATGTCTTCTTCTGAGGTTTTCATKTTGATTCCTTTAGTGGTTCTTTTGTGCAGCGCCCCCACAGGTGAGGGCGGGAACAGGTTGTTTACAGGGTTTAGTTCGGTTGAGAAAGTGCAGTGAGAATTCAAACCACACCAACATAAAATGTAAACAAAGCTTGCAGTTTTGGTCCCCAATCGAACCGAGTCTACCGGACTATCAGGTGTGAATACAACCTTAGAGATGGGATATTTGGCTCTTTGATGGGAGATGGATCTTGTGGATCCATTTATTAAAAAAAAACTGTATATTGCCAAAAGTATTTGCTCACCCATCCAAATGGCTGTGCACTAGCGCACAAAGTAAGGTCCATAAAGACATGGATGGCAGAGACTGGTGTGGATGAACTTGACTTATCTGCACAGATTCCTGACCTCAACCTGATAGAACACCTTTGGGATGAATTAGAGTGGAGACTGAGAGCCAGGCCTTCTGTCCAACATCAGTATGTGACCTCACAAATATGCTTCTGGAAGAATGGTCAAAAATCCCCATAAACACAATAAACCTTGTGGACAGCCTTCCCAGAAGAGTTGAAGCTGTTCTAACTGCAAAGGATGGACCAACATTATACTGAACCCTATAGATTAGGAATGGGATGACACTTAAGCTCATACACGGTGTTTCCCTGTACCGCAGAAGATGGCGGCGGTGGCGGCAGATGTACAGTATGTAGCTGTGCAGTATCGCTGCAGGAAAATACATCCCATTTGGCTTTACAGGTATCTGCAGGTCTGTTTTTGACCAAGTTTTCCTCAGCTTTAGTGTTGCTGTTACTCTGTATGCTACATAAACGGAAGATCAAAGACGCAAATGACGGACATCATTTTCGAAAAACAACAGCACACAAGCATCTTATGGTGTGTATACAAGCATCGAGCATAAGTTATCCTAACTTTGGTAAATATCATCTACCTTGCCGGTTGGGCTGGTTTCTCCGGCTTGCTGCTGTTGCGGCGTGTCTCRGTRGAGTGGYGGATGTGGATGGAGTCCCTCGGCCCTTGGATTGTCCCTCGTGTTTGGACGGAGCGCCTGGGGTGGACTTGCTGGCCTGGACGCGTGGCGGTGGGAGCAGGAACGGAGCGACTAATCTAACAAGTGAGCC